AGCTCTGAGACTGGAAGAAACAGAAGGAAAGAAATAAGAATAGAATGATCCACGTTGCAGACAAACTTCCAAATTGCCTTCTTCTTCTTCTTCTTCTTCAGGAAAAGAAAGAGAAACAGAAAAGAATCGGAAATGCAAGGAATAAGAATAGAATGAAAATGCATAATCTCTCGGTCGTTGACCTGGCATCCCACGCCGAAACGATCCCTCTGCTTCGGCCATCGATCGTTGGTTCCAGTGTCGGCGCGTTATTAAAACGACACCTCGTATCGATCTCGCTTATCGATGCCATAGCTCAGCACAGCCAGAACAGTAGCCTGTGTAGCCGTGGCGCGCGTTTCGATTCGGGGAGGAAACTATCCGCTGGAGGAAGCGTGCGCCGTAGTCGAGCAAAAACCGTCTCCACTAGCCGGTTGAACTTTATTGAATGAAAATGCTGCTACGTTTTTGCCCCCGTCTCTCAGCATCTCTCGCGAACCGAATGAAACAATGGCCATTATACGGGACACTCGCGTGTCCATATACATATATGCATGCGCCCGCGTGTGTGTTACGTGTATTTTTGCTCTTCTTTTGGAAATTTATATACCTAAACACGCGTTTAAAGGACAAACACTGTACACGTGTACGTATGTTTCGCGTACTATGTTACATCAAACGAACGACCGTGTACTAATGTGTATCTGTATTGATGTAGACCAATATATAGAGGCTAGAGGCTCAAGAGGGTTCTATTTGGATAGATATAATGTACATTTTAGAATAGAATATTAATAAAAATATGGACTCCGACACTTGTTAAAACTCTTGAAGCAATCTACCTCCGTCTGAAAGAAAGAAGCATAAAAAACAGAATACATCGACTCTGCAAAAAGCTCACCAAACCGACTGAGACACTTGAATCGTCACTTAGCTGCTCATCTGAATCCGACATCGAAATTTCATAAGAGCCATAATCGCAGCCATAATCCAAATCCATGGGATCAATCAACGGAATCAACGCAAACATAAACCTGACATTCTCAAAATGACATACAAAAAATATGAAAATATCTCAAAAACATAAACTACTACACACATATCTAATGACACCGCTGTCGATGCGACGTTAAAGAAAAATAGAAGAAGAAGAAGAAAAATATGGATTAATTTTGGTAGATATATAAGAATTTTACAGGAACTTTTCATGGGTAGGTTTTGAAATCTAAACCTTGAAACGAATTTCAAAATACAGCCAATAAATCTCAGTATCTACTCTACAGGACTATTTATTTATCACATTATTCATTCTACGTTTAAAATGATTTCTTCCTGCAATAAACCACCTGCAATAATTCCCATGTTCATTTTCAGTTTGATTTCAAACTTTGCATAAACGATAACTGTACGTGCACAGACAGTGTATTGACATCGCCGCATAGGGAAATACGAATTATCAACTTTCTTTCGTCTGCCGGTGTATATACATATATTAGAAACCGTGAGCATGCACGGGGACAGCTGTTGCCACTATTATATCCGGCACGGTCGCATTATGCCTTAAGGACAATCGTGGGAATTCCATTAAGTGGCCTTGAATGGTTCATTCATGTCGATCAACTCTTTTCCTAACGGGGTTGACAGATCAATCGGCCGCGCAGTCACTGAGAGGCACGAGCGCCGACCCACCGGGGGATTTCTCTGCGCGCCACGCCGCTCGCGAGTTCCTCTTCTTCTCAGCGGCCACGACGAAACAGAGACGCCAAAGTCAATTACCTCGCCGTTATATATATATATATATGTATATACATATATATATATACGAATGCTTCGCTGGTGTGTACGAATCGATCTCTTGTTTTCTCCACCGAGGAGGCGCGCTCTCGTTTGCCCTGGGTATATCGAACCGATCGAGAATGGTATTCCATCCGCGATTCGTATTCGTGCGCGACTCGTCCTTGTCTTTCGTTCCTCTGTCCACGGGCTCGAAGACAGAGACAACCGGAATAATTGACTTTTGCTTTTAATCGGGGATGTTCCGGTGGCAGTGACGACGATGGTTAACTTTTATGTCAGGATGAAGAGGTTGAACGGTCAAATCAAACCGCCACGCGTGTAGTATCTGTCAACCATCGTTCGTTTTTTGTATCAATTTGACTCGGTTTTCTCTTTATTTTTTTTTTTTTTTCTTTTTGTTTCCTTCTGTAAAATAAAAGGATCGTAAAACTTTGTAAAATGAACGCGAGGATCATAAAATTTTAAAATCACGTGTAACGTGATATAAAATTTTACGTCTGTATCTGATTGTGAGAATAGTTTAACTTTAAACCTAATGTACATGTAGAAGTTCAGGTTGAGTAAAAATTAATTGAATTGAAACTTAATCTATGTAGTTTAAGTTAA